AGTTTATATAAATATCCCTTAAAGCCCGGGACGAACTGGGAAACAGTGTTGTCATATTATTTGTCTTTCCAATCTTTCGGTATGTCATATTGTCTTATCAGCGTCGGCAAACGGATAAAGATTGTTTCATAAAATGCTTCTGAAATCTGAATTTGGTAGGAAATAATTTGCTTTCTGGGAAGCAAATTTTGCGTCTGCAATAAAAGTCAATTAAAAATCACGAATATTTCCACGACATTGTTTCTTACGTTTGGCCAAGGCTTTCAGTTTAGCGAAATATTTCATTTGTTCCTTGATCGTGTCAATTGTATGCATATATATTTTTTATTCTCCTTCCTGTTTGATACAGGTGGATTTTTTACTTCACACAAATTTGTATTGAATTAGGATGTTAAACGTTAAAACGGTATTTTGAAACAATAGCCAATGAATTGAAGTGATTTAGCATATGAGCAAGCAAAATATACAATGTGTTTTTAACAATATTTAATGTGGGTGTATTTATATTACAAGGTTTGATCAGTATTCCGTGATTTTATTTTGTTGTTTTCGCGGAGGAAATCGGGGAACCCCCCAGTGAGAATCTATTTTTATAGTCTGCGCGTGCGCAGTGCGAGTTTGACTGAGTTGCGCATGCGTATTTGCTACCAAAGTAATGGCGGTTCGAATATTTCGAAGCGCGAAAATATCAAACTTTGGAGGGATTTTTCTCCCAATTGTGCACCTGTTTCACTTGGGGAGCAACGGATTCTGATAAAGTAATCGTTCCTTGTTATTCTAGATAGTGGCTAAATACCAACTTATGTCACAATATAAATATAATACATGTAATAGTTCAAATAGGAGAAGTAGAACTTTACCAGACAAAAGCCAGGACAGCTTATTGCAGAATACATGCAATCTCGTTTTGAGCATGCAAGCCCTTGGCCAGGATCCAATAAGTGGGATTTTATTGCTCTGATGAAAATCTGGGTTCAAAGATGAAAACATTTCTCTCAATTATAGATAGCTATAATGAAATCATGGATTTTATATTTCCTCCCAATTTATCTTTTTTATGATGAATTTCGAGTTTATATAAATATCCCTTAAAGCCCGGGACAAACTGGGAAACACTGTTGTCATATTATTTGTCTTTCCAATCTTTCGGTATGTCTTATCAGCGTCGGCAAACGGATAAAGAGTGTTTCATAAAATGCTTCTGAAATCTGAATTTGGTAGGAAATAATTTGCTTTCTGGGAAGCAAATTTTGCGTCTGCAATAAAAGTCAATTAAAAATCACGAATATTTCCACGACATTGTTTCTTACGTTTGGCCAAGGCTTTAAGTTTAGCGAAATATTTCATTTGTTCCTTGATCGTGTGAATTGTATGCATATATATTTTTTATTCTCCGTCCTGTTTGATACAGGTGGGTTTTTTACCTCACACAAATTTGTATTGAATTAGGATGTTAATATAAAGTAGAATAAAACGGTATTTTGAAACAATAGCCAATGAATTGAAGTGATTTAGCATATGAGCAAGCAAAATATACAATGTGTTTTTAACAATATTTAATGTGGGTGTATTTATATTACAAGGTTTGATCAGTATTCTGTGATTTTATTTTGTTGTTTTTGCGGAGGAAATCGGGGAAACCCCCCAGTGAGAATCTATTTTTATAGTCTGCGCGTGCGCAGTGCGAGTTTGACTGAGTTGCGCATGCGTATTTGCTACCAAAATAATGGCGGTTCGAATATTTCGAAGCGCGAAAATATCAAACTTTGGAGGGATTTTTCTCCCAATTGTGCATCTGTTTCACTTGGGGAGCAACGGATTCTGATAAAGTAAGTTTTTATCTATTTATTCATGCGAAAATTACGTAGTTCCACGAGGGGTGCAACGGAATTGCATCTTTTGGATGCTCATCCCACGGCCTATTTACCTGTTGAAGTCTATCCTAAAAGATTTATTTAATACTGAGATGTGGAATTGTAACGAAATTTCAATTTCTGTAATATCGAAAACTACAAACGGAACAAACCTTGCTTGTAAACAATGCTACTCGGACTGTTATTCAAAACGCTGTGAAATTTCTAAATTCCAGCATTGCCATTAATGTGGCTGAAACTTCATTGATGCTCAAGAAATATGTTGAAGTATACCTCTCTATTATCGAGTTTGGGTAATGGTCGAGTATCGAGGGTCGAGTGTCGAGGGTCGAGGGTCATAGGTCGAGGGTCGAAAGTCGAGGGTCAAAAGTCGAGGTCTAGGGTCGAAAGTCGAGGGTCGAAAGTCGAAACGTAGTAACAATTATTAATTTTAGAATTCTAATTCTGGTCAAAATTTTAAAAGTTTTAAATTTCCTCTTTATTTAAACTTAGAAGATAAAATATAGGGGCAGGGGCATCGGAGCGGCTCTAAGTGGGGGCACACTTAGCACCCAGCAAAGGCGGGTGACATTCTAGGTGCTTCCGGGGATGCCCCCCCCTCACGGAAAACATTTAAAACTAGAGTCTGAAATGCCATTTAGTGCACTTTAGAAGGAGATTTACAGAGTTCTAAAGGTAACGAAACGTCATAAAAATCTCAAACTGTTTTGCCCACACGCGTAACTGAAATAGTATCAATTAACTTTGTGGTTTATTATTGACCATTGTTAAAAAGTGTGGGGG